CAGCACAGCATCCAATAGGTTGCATCATTGTCTCCACCTATCTTTGTGTATACAGTTTGCAAGAACTCCATTCCAGCAATCTTATTTTGGGAAGGAATAGGGTGTCTGTCATAACTCTCCCTGTGTATGTAGGTGTACAAGTACATTGATAGGAGTGGCACTGAACACTGAGTAGCAACTCAATACCTACCACAATCATGAGTCACAACCTCTTCATTCAAAAATTGGGCGAATGAATTTCACACCCAGTTTAAGTGACCACGAGGGTGTTGCTATTGTTTGTGGTAGCCAGCTTATCCAATGTAAGTCAGTGAACAAAGTGTTACAAATCAGGCAGTGAAGGAACTGAAAGTGATGGTGAAGATGTAAACCGATAGCATCAGCATACATGTAAAATCTGATGGTCTTTGGATGACACTGCCTAGGGTCATCATTTTGATAAGAAATAGGAAGGAAGTTACATTTGTTATGAATAAATAAGCATTTATTATTTTTTTGCTTTAAAGATCACAACTAAAATTAAACCTGTTGAATGGGTGGCGGTGCAAGCTTTCGATCAGCTATCCTTTAATCGACTTTACTCTGTAGATGGTGCTTGACTTCAATAGTTTAAAAAGACCACTAAGTCTTTTAAATTGCTTTCTATTAAAGTCATAAGATGGAAAGTTTCTTTACACATTTGTACTTGCCTCAAATTGTAGAAATGTCGACATATAATATTCTCCTCCAATCAGGAAAGCAAGAATGAAGAAGTGAAAGATTTGATTATGAATTAAGAATTTAACATGTTAAGCTTTTCTTTCTGATGAGACTTCAGTCACTTTGACAAGAAAATCTGCTGCAGGTTAACAAAGGGCTTTGTTCTGGTTATATTAGCATACACAAGTGGAATGGGCCTTTATGATATAGCATTGGATGAAACGTATTACCCAAGGACCTCAGTCCCCTGTATACTGACATAACAATACTGCCTTTTATGCAATATGGAATATCTAAGCCAAAGTATTTTGATTCTAACAATATCTGTAATAACAAATGTTATACATTTTAGTAAATAAAAAATACTGAAGATGGCTTTTACTGCAGTTCAATTAGGTTGCATGATAGTCAATATGATAGTGGTTTGAGCAAGGGATGGTTGGCGAGAGAGATGTTGGATACTGACCTGCACCTTGTTGCTGGGGCAGCTGGGTCTGTAAGGGGTGATTCCTACAAAAACAAGATAACAAAACTGAATTGGATCAAATTCTGCATCAGCTGTGAGGAATAGTTTAATTCTAACATCTTAAACCATTTCTATTTGCCACTCTTTACACTAGAAAGTAACTAAATCAGTGCAGTTATTGATGAGATGAGGATCATATAGTTAGGGCTATAAAATACTACAGCCAATACTAGTAACATTACATTCTTCACTTTTAAAAAACCTCTGAAATCTAGTCATATCATTGAGAGCTTAAAATCTCAGCTGCAGTAATTAAATCAATTTGTTTCCCCTTCTTAGTTCCCATTTGATATTGAAACTCCTTTGAAAGAAAAGAAATTGTCACAGTTTGCTTTCTGGATCCGGAATGGCTACCAAAAGAAGTGTCAATGTGAAGACTCTTCTCTCTGATGGCCCTTCACTCCTTTTTGCAGGAAGTTAGCAAAAGAAAACTCAAGGATCAGAAATGGCCAATTTGTCCTCTGACACACCCTCCTCTAACGTATTTGGATGCTTTGTGAAAGAATGAAGACATTTAAAATTACCACAATGCTTTGCCACTGCATGCCATTTCAGACAGTCTTTCAGTAAACAAGTTGTATATTCTGTTCATTTAAATTTACTTTGTATTGAAGTAATATTTTGCATTTATTTTATCTGCCCTATTTAATTGTGCATGTACGTGCATGTTTACCCCTTTCTGTCATTCAGCAAGAATACCTCGAGCTTCTCCAAGGTTCCTTGATGGTCTAATCAGAGTATTTGTTTTTCTTTGTAGCCTTTCCAATTTGTACATCTGTTAAATCTGATTATCCTGATCCAAAAAAATGCTCCGCACATGTAAAATCCATAGAGAAACTTCTTAAGGCTTTTATTTTACTATTCTTGCCACACACCAAAATGAATTTGCTTTTTAAATTCCTTCACCATTGTGGATGATGAAAGTAAGGAGTTGACATTATTGTTACATTTGTTACCATCCCACTACAATATGACCATGGATAATTTGAACCACATTCTGATCTGTCTGTGCAACATACAGGGTCACCATGTTGCCAAAGAGGTAATTTTAATAACCATGTACTTGCGTTATGTGTAATCAATTTTTGTGCCATTACAAATCACTACTGCACCTGCAGAACATTTAAAATTCAGTATTTAGTGCTATGTATTCATATTTATTGTGAAGTAACAAATCGATTAATACAGGAATAAAAAAAACAAGAAATGAAGCAATAAACAGAAGGGAACCTGCTCAAAATGTGCTAATGAGAAAAATTATAGTACCACCTCAACAATCCAAAGTAGTGTGTTTTGGTGTACAAAACCCAGGCACACATGAATGTGAAACATTTTCCAGTACTTCTCAAAGGAAGGTATCATCTATTCACATCCCTAAAACACGCATGTGTGATATTTAGTTATTAATACACAACCAGTTCTCCAGCAGCATATTTCTAATTCCTTTGATCACTGCATTAAAAGAAAACAACATTCTGCATTATCTAGTCATTTTGTATCAACTAAAGAAAGACTTACTGTTGTGTCTGCATGAGAGGCATGTTGGAGGTGTCACAGTTATCTGAATGATGAAGGGGTGGCATGATCTCGCCAGTTACTGGATTAAACACGGGCAGAGTGGAAAGGGGCCAAGCTGCCTCCCGGTTCTTTGACATGTTCCGAAGCTCCTTGGTTGACTTCTGAATGGAGCTATGATGAACCAACTGGATGCTGAAGAAAAATGTGAAATAAGAAGGTTACACTACAAACTTTGAACAATACAAATCGGGTCAGTGTCTTGCTTTTGGAAACTACTGATAGTTTGACTCAGTAAATCAAATTAATAGAATTTCTGGATCTTGCTCCAAGAAAGTTTGTTTCTGAATTCCATGTTAATAAAAGTTTTTTTTTTGAAATGAACTGGAACTAAAAAGTCAAATTAAAGAATAAAAATAACCATCAGCAATAAGGGACTAATGTTTAATGCTTTCATACGACATTGCTCCTAACCTGGTTATTTAAAGTAGTCCATTTCAAAAGAGTAGAGATATGCCATTTAAGTTTATTTTATTACAACCATCATTTCTGGCCTCAACACTTCTGACTGGAGCCTTTTCTTTGCTACTATGTTTCAAACTATGTCAGAGACCCTAGTATAGTTTTAGGTTTCAAAGTTACCAATTTAGAATATAAAATGATGATAGAAAATTTATAAAAATGAAAACTTTTAATCAGTATCTAATGGTAAGAAACTAATTTAAAAATACTGCAGTGGAGATTCCTAAAACACTGATTTTAGGAGATAAATTTACAATTATGAATTAATTTAGTTGGCTTTTATGCCACTGTTTAAATACATCAAGGTAAGAAATTTCTGGTTTTATGTATTTTGCATTTGTGATCATTAGCAGAAGCTGGAGCGTAAGAAGTAACTTTTCGAATTATTCAATTAATATTTGCTCTTTTACACCATTTGTGTAGTTTGTGTCCTTTTTGTAGTTACTGTTACCCACTTTACCACTGGGTATTTCGTTGCAATGGATTTATTCATTAGTAATGTCACAAAAAGTCCAAATCAAAACCAGCAACATGAATTATGTATTAATTTGAAAAGGTCGCTATGGTGACTGCCACTGCTGATTTTTGATCAGATAGCTAAATTGTAAACTTGACATACCCACATTTCAAATACCCACATTTGAGCATCAACCCCCATCTTCAAATTAAATGCAACCACTGACTGGTTGTTCTAATCTAATGATATTGAGCCAGTGAGGTCTAGGTGAACCATATTTCCAGAGGTGTATTTATGAGTTGAAAATTGTGAAAGCTGTATAATAAAATGCCAGCCAGAAAAGCATCTCAAAATGCTAAACTGTAAACAATGAGGAAAGAATTTGATGGTAGAGCTGGAATAATCTAAAGAACACTGTCTAGGTATCACCTAGGACTCCAAGAGTACAAACAGTCTAGTTCAACTGACAGAGGTTATGGAGAGAGATGGAATCAGTCACGACAGTATAGTTTGCTGCAGGGGCTGAAGCTTATGGTGTGTCTTTCCAATATTTGCCATTCCAACATTTCCAAAAAAAAAAATTATGGTTCATCTACAAAAGTTTAGGATCAGCAGTCATATGACTGGATGAGTATTCCAGAAGACTGGATTCCTAATCTGGAAATAAGAGATCAAATCCTACCCAGCAGTTGGGAATTTCGGTTGCGTTAACCGAATAAATCTGGAATGACAATGCATAACTAACAGATGATCTTAAAAGCCATTCAGTTATGCAGTGGTATTCCACTGCTGGCATAGTAGAAATGACAACATCATTTACACGAAGTACCAGTCACCATTGCCAAGCAGATAACAGAAGACTATGCTATTTTTAATTAAAGTGTGAAGACATGTTATATGACATTCATGGAGGACAGGTGGGATTTGAACTCGGACATGTCGTGCAGAAGTAGAGACACTGCACTGCAACTTTTTTTTCAGTTTTATACTGGGTTTTGGGTTTTGGGTTACTTCAGGTAGTCCTGGCTTATTGTACTATTCAATAGTACATGTTGGAAAACAAAAATCTATCATCTTGTTAACCCAAACATCTGCTGAACAGATAGCAAGAATTGCATATGCTGGAGTCAGAGACAACACAGCATGGAGCTAGAGGAACACAGCAGGCTAAGTCGACATCAGAGGAACAGTAAAGTTGATGTTTTGGGTCGGGAACCTTCTTCAGAAATGGTCCTGACCCGAAACATCAACTTTCCTGCTCTTCTGATGTTGCTTGGCCTGCTGTGTTCCTCCAGCTCTACACTGTGTTATCATCTACTGAACAGGTTATAATTCAAAATGGACAGTTGACTGCCTTCTGTAAACTGAAGTCTCAATAGGCAACCAAACTGCAATCACCTTGATACTCAATCAGCTGACACTGCCACAGCAGATCAGGGCTTAACCTAGTGCACATATTGGTTAAACTAAATTACCCCAAGGAACTGTGCAGGCATACCTGAGCAAACAGAGCAGCTTTCTATGTTATTTCAAACTAGCAGCAACACAGTACTTTGCAGGCAATATTTAACTGCAATTAATAGCATAATTTGTTTTCAAATAAAAATTGAACATGCCAAAAACAGGTTACGCAGTAACGAGGAATGGAGGAGGCTGTGTTGACATTTCAGGTTGATGAAAAAAGTTTTTTCAGATCTCCAATATCTGCAGTAAAAGTGGGAGATGCAGTTCACCCTTCACAAATTTGCTTTGATGAAAGGTAATTGATCTAAAACACTTCCCTGTCCAGATATGCTACTTGGTGTGTATTAAATTTTCCAGCATTTTTGCCCAATAGAAGTTACCCTGGGTGTGTTGTTCTGTAGTGGGTTCTTCCAGCTGCAGACAGCTGGACCTGATGTGGCCAGCAGAACCTCAAATAATTTCAACTTTCACTTGGAAGAAAGGTCCAGACTTTTTATACCATGTCTTCAGTTAAGAGCAATCTGCACAGATGCAGCACGAAACTGTCAAAAGTACATCCTGTGGGAACAGAATTGATCCCCTCAAATTTCTTGTCACTTTCAGCATTCCATATTGTCAGCTGATCAGAGATGTAATGAGGACAGGCAGGAGAGAGAGCTCATGGTTTAGGTGGTCTCAGTGTTGCAGTTAAAGAAGCCAGGCATGTTAGGACCCTAAAGTCAAAGTGAGAAGCTTAAAAATCTTATTGTAACAATACTGTATTCTAGACTGAACTCTAGAAAGCAGTGATACTGGAATACAATCCTACTGCAGCAGCCATTGATTTCTTTACAATCCCTTAACAGGAAATCACGCCACTGAAAAAAATGAGTTAAATGATCTCTAAACTGGCAGTTAAAGGAAAATAATGCTTTTGTTTCTTTCTATGGAAAAAATTATTACTCGTTACGTTAGGAGTTACTGAACATCAAGAACTCACTTGCTACGCTACCAAGCGATCTAACTGCAATAACTCTTCACTATGGGTCAACAGTATGAGATGAACCATGAAACGTACAACTCAAATGGAAACGAGTATGAAACAGACTCTGAAGCCTACGGTAGCAGATTATGATCTGGTAAAACAAAAAGTAAAATTAAAAACAGAAGATGCTCAATTTAAAACATAACAGGAAAGAAGACACTTACTCTGGTGTTTGCATGTCTCTCTTTTGCCTAGGAACAAAACAAAATTAATGAATTAAATAATAGGCATTGATACTTGAAACATCAAAAGATATTTGCTAATGATGGTCCCACTTTTGGCAGATGTTGAGAAGATGATTATTGAATGCACTTGTCAGTATCTGCCTACAAGTATAGGGCCAGAATAACTGCACACACAAACACAATGGACACTCAGCAGGAAAGAGACTGATGAAAAGGCTTGATGGAAAATAAACTTACATGGATGGAGCTGAAATATGAATGCATGCAATGGTATGGACAGTTTCTGAGCTCTCTACCTCCTTTACTAACCTGTGATATTGTTACTATCAGAATGAACTAGAAACTAAAACAGAATAGAGAGAACCCTTTCCCTAGTATTAAGACACCATTACCAAATAGAAGAGTCTCATTTTTAAAGAAAGAGAGATGCGTCCCATGTTTAGAGTCTCTGCATATCTGCACTTGGACAGCAGTGTGATTTACTTACACTCCTTCTCGGCGGCAGAACATGACGTAACCAAGGATAACAAAAAGCACCAGAGCAATGGCTATTGGTATCGCCAACGTAATCACGAAGTCTGTGTAATAGTCCTTGCTTTTCAGGTTAGTAGAAGGTGGTTTATACTCTCCGTTGTCAGGCAGAACACCATCTCCCCGAATCACTTCCTTACTGACAGACGGCATCTTTGACTTGTCGACCTGCCACCAAATTGTAATAAAAAGAGCTACATCTTTAGATTTGCTATTTTGATTCAAATGTACTACATATACATCTCAGTACTTATATAACTTGGCAGTGAAAAATTGTTCCTTCCACAGCATCGATAACCCTCATCTGTGTCAACACAGAGTTCAAGATGGTGTTTATTTTCTTTGTACTATTACTTGAATAGTTTTGCACCGTGTAAATTCTATATTGCTCAGTGCCATTTGAGCTTTTTTTCCTCTCTGCACCTGAGCCTGAGCAGAATTGTTCCAGTTCCTGTCCAACTATCAAAATTGTTTTTTGAAGAAATAGCACCCCACGTGCTCTTTAGTTCTGGCAGCTGCACAAAAATATTTAGCAAGGTTAATTCAAAAAATTTTTATTTCCCTTTAGAGCCTCCCAAAAATCTTGATGCTATTTTCAAAATTCTTCTGTGCTCCACTGCCAGTTCCTGATTCTCACCAGTAGCTAATACATCAACAACTGTCTCTGTCATCCTTACCAGCTCCGCAAGTTTTCTAATTACGCAGATCAAAACTTAATTCTAGAACTTTGCTGCCTCTTATGGCCGAGTATCTTCTCAAGCACTGCATTTAGCAAAGGCTAGTTTCAACTTAGTGGATAAGGAGTTACAAGGAGTCTTCACAGTGTCTTTATGGTTAGCAGGGGTAAAATTGACTGCACTCTTGATTCAGACTGAAGATGTCAAAATTTTAGCTGAATACGTTCCCCAAAATATAATCAGCTCTGGTTCTTCGTGTCAGTACCAGCGCCAGTTTTGGCTTGATGGTAGCACTCTCAGCTTTGAATTAAAAGGTTGTGGATTCAAGTTCTGCCTTGCCACAGAGATTTCAGCATAATTGACGTTTTGCTGCAACGATGACAAAGTGCTGCTGAATCAGAAGCACCAGATTGAAGACTGAAGGATTAAACCATGACCCTGTCTGCTCCTCTTAGATGGGTATAATTAATTTCACAACACTGCTTGAAGAAATGTACAATAGTTCTTCCCATATCCTGGTCAATATTTATTTTATTTTATTATCACTAAACACACTAGTCATTTGTCTCATTTCTGTCTGTGGGAAATAGCTGTGTTAAAATAGTTGTCACATTTCACAGATTGAAAGTAGCTATGCTTCAGAAATATTTCCTTGGCTGTAGAGTACTTTGAGATCATTAAGTTCTTTCTCTGCCTTTATCTATAGTTATGGTGGAGAGTTAATGTGGTGCTGTTATTCAAGAAGGGTGGTAAGGATAAACCAAGAAACTATTGGTCAGTGAGTCTAGCATTTGTGATAAAGAAAATATTAGGAAAAAAAATTGAGACACCAAATTATCCTCCAGTTGGAAAGGCAAGGATTAGTCAAAGATAGCATGGCTTTGTAAGGGGAGAAGAAATTTGATTTGAATTTTTTGAGGAGGCTAGGTGTATAGAGGAGGGTAGCACAGTTGACGTAATCTACAGATACTCTAATAAAGCTTTTGATAAGGTCTCACATGGCAGGCTGGTTCAGAAGGTAACAACCCATGGGATCCAGGGAATTGGTTCAGTGGTAGGAAGCAGAGAGTGATGATCGAAATTTGCTTTTGTGACTGGAAGCCTGTGTCCCATGACATATGGTGACTCACTGGTTAGCACTACACCCTCACAGTGCCAGGGACTCAGGTTCAATTTGCATTTACGAAAACATCCACTGACCAATTCCCTTTGTTTCCTGTCACTGAGACAATTTGGATCTAACTCACCACATCCCTTGGTATCCCATCATGTAAGTTTCTCAAATGCCTTACTGAAATCCACACGGACAACATCCTCTGTACTCCTCATCGACCTTCCTCGTTGCTTCCTCCATAAATTCAATCAATTAAGTAAGACATGACGTTCCTTTAACAAAACCATGCTGACTATTCCTGATTAATCCATACCATTTGATATTTTCCTGCAGTGGGTAGCCATTATCTTCACTAACCAATAAATGTCTGTGTTAGGTGCAAATTTCAAAATCGTACTTCACACAATGTAAATTATTAATAAATATCACAAACAGCAAGGGACCCAAAACCGAGCCCTATGGAACACAACTGAAACGGGTTTTCATTTGCAAGAAACGTATGTTGACCATTATCTTTTTGTTTATGCTAATCCAATTATAGTCCAACTCACTATATTCCCCTGTTCCCATTGACTTTCAGCTTTCTGATCAACCTACAGTGTCAGACCTTGTCAAAAGTCTTACTAAAATCCAAACAGACAACATGCACCTCATTACCTCATTTCTTCTTCAAAAACTTTAAAGAAGTTAATAAAATGTGATCTTCCTCACAAAAAAAATCTAAGCTGACTATCCCCAATTGATCTGGTGTCTTTATAAGTGATAGCTTATTTTGTGTCTCAGAACTGATTTCAATAATTTGTCCATGACCAACATCAGAATGGCCGGCTTAAAGTTGTCCTATGCCTTGCAACCTTTTTGAACTCAACATTCACAGACCTCCAATCCCTGGCACCTCATCTGTATCAGGTGAGGATTGGAAAATGATCCTCAAACCATCTTCCCTGTGCCTCCCAGGTTCTTTTAACAGCCTTGAATATAATCTTTTCAGCCTTGGTGATATATCCCCTTAAGTAGTGTCAGTTTCCCCAATAATACCCCTCTCATACTACCCCATGCAGTATTTCAGACTCCTCCACTTTAACTGAACATCATCCCTCTCCTTTATGAAAACAAAGTACTCACTAAGAACTGTGCCCAGATCCTCTGCATCAAAGTGTAAATTATCTTGTATACCTCTGACAAAGCAGTGGCTCAATGGCCAAGAACGCAGATTTGGTTCCAACCTTGGGTGCCTGTCTGTGTGGGTTTCCACCAGGTGCTCCAGTTTCCTCCCACAGTCCAGGGACGTACAGGCTAGGTGGAATAGCCATGGTAAAATGCAGAGTTATAGGGATAGGGTGAGCTGACTAGGTTTGGGCAGGAGAGTGGCTGTAGGCTCAACAGGTGGAATAGCCTCTTTCCACAGTGCAGGGATTCTCTGATAGGCCCTACCCTTCCCTCAGTTATCTTCCTAGTTATTCTTGTGCTCCTAATGTTTTGGGAAAATATCTTTGGATTTTCCTTGATTTTACCTGTCCATGTCCATTCTGTAATTTGTTTTATTATCCTCCTCCTACATAGATGTGACTCTCAATGCAATGTACCTTCCCAACCAGCCGACAGAACCACACTAATCACTGTTAGGTGTTCTCCAATGCTGTTCAACTGCAGTCACTGGGAGATCTGCAACAGCTAAACTTGGTGACTAATCTTCTGAATTTTTTTTTTTTTTAAAGTAATTCCTTATACTGGAGTCTCAAAACTCCTGCCTTTACCTGAAGCTGGTGACCCTTTTCCTAATCCCAGGGGAAGGTCACTAGTACAATTGGATCAGTGTTCTGTACTTGTACAGTTGTTTTATCAGGAGCCACCCACTGTATCCAGACAGGGACTCACTTGAGGTGCTGCAGGATCTTCTGAGATAAAGAAAAAAATTCAAAGAATGCTCTTCAGTGTCAGTGGAGCAATTCTGGGGGCAGTTAATGGGCCGCTGCTCCATAATCAGGCCCCTTACTTTCTCAGATTCATGGCATTTTGAGGCTGTGGCGTCTATCCAATCTGACATGGCTGTGATCAAATATTCATAAAGTACAATTCATATAACACGAAAATTTAAAGCTTCATTAAAATAAAATAAACAACATGCGTTTAAAAACTAGCGTGCCTGAATTTACTGACAGGAGGGCAAATGTTAAGAAGATTCAAGTTCAGAATAAGACAGTAAACATATGAAGCACATAAAGAAATAGATACATCAATGTTGGTTACATTATCATTTCATGATAGGTGAATCTCACACCAAAAGATTGATACACGATAGATCCGTAGAGCTCAGTACAGGATTATTATCAGAGTAAAATAATTGGATTAGCTTCATTTACCATTTGTTTATAAATACAATTGTTGCAGATCTGCATAGGTACAAAGGAAAAAAAAAACTGTAAAATTGAAAAGTTTCGAAATTGAAAACCAGAGGGCAAAGCAAGAAATTAGTTTAGAATGAAGACAAAGAAAATGAACTTTCACCGTAACTTCCAGAAGCCCTGTAAAGCCGTAAGTCTCTTTTTAAGTATGGTCACTGCTATAATCTATGGCACTATGACAGGGCACCATACCCTCAAGTGTTGCACTGAAGTACAAGCCTAACTTACTCATTCTAGTCTCTGAAGTGATGCTTGAACAAATGACCCCATCATTCATAGGTAAAAGCACCACCATTGATCAAAAGCAACTCATGATGGCTCCATTTATAGAACTAGCTCAGTCAGCCAAGTGACTTCTTTCCATACCATTTAAATTTGATGATTCTATGAATCAAATTGATATGATTATGTTGAACTCATATACAGAATAAAATGCCAAACAAGCAAAATAATGAAAAAAGGGGTTTATTTTCCCAGTCCTGCATTTGGCAGCTTAAAGTTATACACCGTTAAAAAGCTGTTTTTCTGTTCAGTGCCCAAATGTTGTTGGAAGTTTCTGTCTTTGATGTTCCATAATGAAAGTAAAGGCTAAAAAAGGATGCCAAATGACATGCAAAGTTATTGAACTCATTTACTTGAGACTTTAGCACAGCTATCTCTATAGTAACTAGTCTTTAGCACAGTGGCTCATGATGCCCAGTAGAATCAGAGGACACAAACATGGGATTGGACATTGCCCCTCCTTCAATGCACAGCAGAAGCCACTGTGGAAAGGAGATAGCCCAGTCTGGAGACTCTGGCAGCAAAGCCCTGGATCCAGAGAATCAGTGCCTCCACACAGTACAGGGTGGACAGTGAACGCAAGACGCCCTTTAACATTACAGACCATTATTGGCAGTGAACTTCAATGAGCCCAGAACATTTGAGAGTTGACTTGGTGTGGACATGTAACTCAGTGACAGAGTATGGGAAAACCAGATGGTCAAGCAGCTGAGGCAGTAAGGTGGCTAGCACTTGACAGTGTTTCTACTCCTGTCTATGTGATATACAGACTCCTTGCCTCAGCCTCATAGGTACCAACCATTAGACCAAAAGAAGGGGGTTGCTGGGAGTGGTGGGAAGGGACCTCACAATCTTCTGCCAACAAGGAGAATTTGTCTCAAACCTACACAAGTACATAAAACAATTATGTTTTTACAAGCATTTCAAAAGCTCAGATTTTCATATTTATGTGATGAATTACATGTTGCACTGTAATAAACAAACATTAATTATTATATTAATTGAATGTTTCATTTTTGATGTTGTCTGGGGTCATGTTATTTTCCACGAGTTAAAATGGGGTCATATCATTACCAACTAGAGGGAGAAGGTGTATCTTACTAACAGTCAAACTTCACTCGTTTATGGAGTCAGATATTTGAAAACCTGAATTGATGATTAAACTTGCTTGATAGTAACACTATGATTTGATCAGAATCCTCTCATGAGTTTTTCTCCACTAATTTGGTTTTTTTTCAAAGTAGCATTTTCTTAATGATGGAACAGGGTGTATGCAAGTTCCAAACAAGATACTGTTTGAGACTGTGATTCTTGATAAACATTAAACAAATGGTGGAAAATAGCTAGTTAATTGTAGTGTTTGACAACAGAACTGGGCTTGTTAACCATCTACATTTCTATTTTAGGCTTGGGAACTGAAAAAGAATAATTTAAAAATTTGTCAACACCAAACTGGGTGTGACAAAATACAGGAAGGAAATAGTTTCACAGACTGAGCACAACATTGTTCATCAATGGTGTTACATTGATAGGAAGAAAATAGAGGCTGCACATTTCTTGGAAAAAGTAGTGTCTAAATGGGATTGAGGAACAGGGGGGAAATCAGAGGGTGGGGGGGGCAGCAGATACACAAATCATTACAAGTAGCAACACAGGTTAGGGACATAATAAAAATAAACAAGCTTTTGGGATTCCTTTCTAAAGGGATAGAATGAAAAATCAGAGAAGTTATGTTAAACTTAAATTGACCCTGATAAAAAGGATGATTTATTAGGATTATAGGAGACATTAGAGGTCATATCCTTCCAAAAATAAATTCATAAAAAAAGACTTAGGTGATTCTAACAGACATATTCAAGATTATGGAAGTTTTTAATAGGATACACAAGGGACAAGATATTTGCACTTCCTGGGAACTAAGAGCCATAAATATGACATATTCATTAAAAATTGAATCAAGAGTTCAGAAAAAATTCTTTACCCATATAATGGTTAGAGCTCACTACCAAAAGGAGTAGTTGAACTGAATATAGAAGATGTACATACAAAGAAGGTAAATAAATGCATGTAAGAATAATGAATAGATAGATATATGTTCATGGGGTTAGGCAAAGAAAGGAAGTTGAAGGCATAAATTAAATATAAACATCAGCATTAAATTTAGGTCAATTGGCTTGTTTCTTGTTGTAAATACCATATAACAATCCTGAGAAAACATATAAAAGAATAGAACATCAAAATGTATATGATCCCCTTCAAAAGAGAGAATGCAGAAAGGATAGTGCTTGACTTACCAAAGACAGTTTACACCAGTCAATGTCAAACTGAGCCCTAAATTTCTTGTCACAGCTTATGCTCGGTTCCATCTCCTGACTACACTTCAGCTGGTTTTGTGGGGTCTCCACTTCTCTTAGACATGATGAGAAAGTCACATCTGTACCCACCATGACATAAACCCTGCAGAGGAAGAATTCCAACAGAACATCATGTTTTACGGGGATGTGAAAACCTATGTAGTGTACTATTGCCTCGAGTTGGGTATTTCCAAGTGCATTTACACCTTAAAAGAAGCAATTTTTGAAAGCAACATTTGAATTTTATGTAAGTGTCAAACCAAAATGGTTCATCCAAAGAGTTGTGAAGCATAACAATGCATGCAATCCCTAATTGCTTGAGATATTTAAATCAAGAAACTCGGATCATTTGCAACCACTTTCAGAAGCAAGGACCCTTGGGAATTCTCAAATGGCAGTGGCACTGCAATTATTCATTTGGGGAAAATCACAATGGATGCTGTACCAGTGAGGGCATTAGCACAGAAATAGCAAATATTGGCAGAAGTATGGATTCAACATAACAGAATAAATTGAATCAAATAAACAGAACAAGACAAGTTTCTGAAAAAGGAACAAAGAGGAGTAGCGGAAGTAGGCCTCACAGCAGGAAGCAGGGAGTAATTTTCCAACTAGAACCTCGTAGACATTTGTAACACAGAAGGAGGTCATTCAGCCCATCATATCTGGGCTAGTTTAAGATCAGACAACACAAATCACTTTTTCCAGCTTTTGGTCTGTAACCCTGGAGGCTATGGCAACTGGATATCTAAATATTGCTTAAAAGTGCCTTCTATCCATCCTATCTATGCCCCATAATGCTACTGACCTCTATCAATTTCTCTCTTGACATTTGCTGTCCCAAGGAAAACATCCCCAACCTAAACAATCTTTTCTCACTGCTCAGACTATCCAAGACCAGACAGCACTCTGGCAAGTCTTCTCTGCACCCATCTCTCTCATGCAATCACATCCTTCCCATCATGTGGTGGCTAGAACTTACACAGCACTCCAGCTGCGTCTGAAACAGTATTGTATACAGTTCCAGAATGAGCTCCTTCCACTTGTATTCTATGCCTTGGTTAATAAAGGCGAGTATCCTACATGCATTCTTAACAACCTTGCCTACCTGCTCTGCTACCTTTAGGGATCTGTGGACGTGCACACAAGAGTTCCTCTGATCTTAAGTACTTCCCAGGGTCCTGCCATTCATAGTTTAATCCCTTGCCTTGTTAGCCTTCCAACTGTATTATCTCACACTTTTCCAGTTTAAATTTCACTTACTACTGTTCTATCCACCTGACCAGTCCATTAATATTCTCCTACAGTACACAGCTATCCTTCTCACAATTTACCACCCTACCAATTTTGCTATCACCCGTGAACTTCTTCGTCACTGCCCTACGTTTAAGTCCGAATCATTAAGTATACAGCACATACAACGAGGACCCCAGCACCAGACTTATAGGCACAAAAACATCCCTCTCCCAACACCCTCAGCTTCCCACCCCTCAGCCAACTTTAGATCCAATGTGTCATCTTGCCTTGCATCCTATGGGCTTACTTTCTTAACCAATCCATCATGAGGGACATTATCAAAAGCCTTCCTAAAGTCTTCGTCAACCATATTAAATTAATTACCCTCATCCGCACCCCTAGCTACTGTCTCAAAACATTTGATCAAAAGTGTCAAACACAACTTTCCCTTTACAAATCCATGCTGACAATCCATCATTCATTGGTGTCTCTCCAAGAGCAGATACATTCTATGCACCAGAATTCTTTCTAATAAATTTCCACCACCGAGATTCGACTGACTGGCCTGTAATTTCTTGCTCTAGCCTGACCACCCCTTTTTCAACAATGCGACAACATTAGCAGCCCTTCAGTCCTCTGGCACCTAGTCTACGGACAAGGAGGGTTTGAAAATTATTGCCAGAGCCCCGACATCTCGCTTGCCTCCCTCAACACAGCTGGGAGGCATCTGAACTGCGTCGGCAGATTTACCTGCTTTTAAGGCTATTAAACCTGCCTGTACCTCCTCTCCCTCTCTGTTAATTTCTAACAATATTTCACAGACCTCCACCCTGACGTCAATGCCAGCATCATCCTTTTCAATTGTGAAGTCTGATGCAAGGTATTCACTGAGCCCATGTCTTCAGGGTCCACACTCAGATGACTTATACTGTCCTCAAATGGACCCTTGACTTTCACTAGTTATTTCCTTGCTCTTTATTTATTCAAAGAAACCCCTCTGGGTTTCCCTTTATTCTGCCCACCAATGCTTTCTCTTTGCCCATCTAATTTCCCTTTAAATTTCCTTCCTGCACTTCTTACACTCCTAGAGTGACTCTGCCATAGCTTGTTTTCTTAAATTCATCCTAACTTTTATATCACTTGATGTCCAAGGTTCTCCAGTCTTAGTCTCACCCTTTGTCTTTATGGAAAGATATTTGTCTTGTAGTCTCACTATTTCCTCCTGGAGTCGCCCACTACTCGGATTCATTGGTTTATCCACAAGTAGATGCTCCCTGTTCACAAGAATCAAATCGTATCTTAGAGTAAAATTAGCCTCGCCACAGTTGAAACTTTTACTCACAGCCATTGTTATTGTTTCATAGAGCTGTACTGCATGGAAACAGACCCTTCGGTCCAACTCATCCATGCTGACCAGATATCCTAAATTAATCTAGTCTCACTTGCCAGCATTTGGCCCTTATCCCTCTAAACCCTTCCTGTTCATAAACCCATCCAGATGCCTTTTAAATGCTGTAATTGTACCAGCCTCCACTACTTCCTCTGGCAGCTCATTCCACACAGGCATCTCTGTGTGAAAAAGTTGCCCCTTAGGTCCCTTTCAAATCTTTCCCCTCTTACCTTAAACCTATGCCCTCTAGTTCTGGACTCCCCCCATCGCAGGGAAAAGACCTTGGCTATTCACCCCATCCATGCCCCTCATGATTTTATAAACTTCTATAAGGTCACCTCTGAGGCTCCAACGCTCTGGGGAAAATAACCCCAGCCTACCTAGCCTTTCTCTATTTGGAGGCAGTGACCATAAAATGCTCCCCTACTGATACACCTTCCATCTGCCTGGGAAATTTCCAAATATTAGGTTCCCCTCCCTGCTAAAAGTTCTTCGGGATGAAATTTAAGAATTCTTTTCCCACCCTACCTGCGCACCAAAAGTAACAGAGTTAATAATTGGAAAGTTAAAAATGCTTACTGTTACTACTTTATTACTCTTACATTTCTCTGAAATTGGATTACGTATTTGTTACTTTCGCTTCCTGACTATTTGGGGGCCTATGGTACACGCTCAACAACATGTTTGTCACTTCTCCCCTCAAAGCCTGATTTGATGATCGTCCTAAGATTTCATCACTCCTCACTGCTATAATTGATTCCTTGATCAATATCGCCAACACCAATCCCCACCACCACATCCCCTCTCTTGTCATCTGAATATCCTATAACCAGAGACTTGCAGCTGTCAACCCTGCCGACCTTTCAGTCAAGTCTTGGTCATAGCTATGAGATTATACTCCCTGTAGTTATCTGTGCCTTCAACTCATCCAGCTTATTCCTTAGGCTCCTTGTATTAAAATACATTCTATTTAGCCTTGCTAAAGCCACTTCTTTCTTATCTAGCCTGTTGCCTCTGCATTCCAGACTCACTCTCTTTCTCATTTTAACTTCCAATTCCATCTCGGATTCTCTCTCCTCTGAACTACTTTGTCAGGACCTCATTTCCTGCCAATCTAGTTTAAAGTACCATAACAACATTAGCAACCTCAGCAAGGAAAAATATGCAAGACCCCTGTGTTTCATTTAAGGATTGCACTGAAATTTGCAGCCAGCCACCTGTTTGTCGTTCAGTTGCACCAGGTAGGGAAGTGTTAAAATTAATCTGTCCCAAGTTCCTGCTTCTGACTTATTCTTAGCTGAATACATTTGCAGCGTCTCACAGTTTAACTTCAAGTGTTCCATAATGGAGGTCACTAGGGTTCTCTACTCAATGAGACCTCACTACCTTTTACTGTTTGCCAGAGAAGCTGCTCATACCAAGCAAGTCGGGTGACTAGGATTTTAGTTTTTCCCTTGTTGCAGGATGTTATTGATACCGCAACATGTAGCTCTGCAGATACTGCACATCGGCTCTGCCCTTGTCACCATCTATACCATGAGCAGGAGCACAAGGAGCAAAAGGTGGAGGAGAACAATTGGGAGAACAGGGAACAGGAAGGAAGGTGGCAGTCCCTCACTGCCCAAGATATTGCTGGCAATCATCGAAATGCCATGGCAGCCGTCACAAGCTGATTTTCTATTCACCATTTGTTCCATACCTTACCTGCTTTCCATCACCAATCATCACTTCACCACAGCATCAAAATAGAAGACAAACCAAAATGAACAATCAAACCAAATTTATATATCAAATCATGCCATATTGAATATAAAATTTGACTAATCATTGTTATGCTTTGCCTTAGTGCCTTTCTTCCAGTATTTGGAATACACAGAGGCTGTGACTGAATTCACCCCCGAATGCCCACAAAAAAAACCCTTGATATTAAATCTCAGGGGCAACCAATCAGAGACAAGTCATCATCATCAGGAGCTGCTCACTTATAGGCTGTTTCTGAGGTTGGAAAGGCAGGGAGAAAGACAGAGAGGCTGCAAAGTGGAGGAAGAGAGCGTGGAATCTGGTCAGACAACAAGTGGAATTTTTAAAGTCCAGTGAGGCTGTTTGGGAGAGAGAACACAGTTTTTAAACTGGTCAACAAAGACATACTCAAACAACTGAGAGTTAGGACAATTTGAAGTTTATGTGGTAATCAATTCTTTGCAAACAAACGCAGTGTCTGCAGCATAGGACTGAATAAGTTTGGGAACTAACGTGTCAGGGGGAAACATACAGTTGACCCAATCTGTTTTCCATTTGCCTTTCCCAGTGTTGCTATACTTTGCAACCCTACGACAATAGATGAATTGCGAAAAGTTGCTACTTTTCAATGGATGAGATTGCAGATGGTCTAGGAGAATGACCTCAGTGAGGGTGTTTCCTCATCCCGAGCCTGGAAAAACACAGCTAAATATACTGTCGGCCCTATACTGAAAATGGGCTCAAAAAGGGTTCCAGTCCTTGAGAAAAGGCTGCAAACAAAAAGGATATATCCACCTATGCCATTTATTCTACATTATACATGGCAGTAAGTAAAGCATGTACAATGAAATTAACCTCCATGCCCTCATATAGTTACATAAACAACAAATAGTCTGATGCAAATCCAAAACTTTGTTTTTTGTTTTTCTAAGAAATTAAACTTACCCTTCCTTCATATTATTGATGGGCAGAGGCACTCGCCCACCCCGATCGAGTGCTGAGGTGATGTTAATGGCATTGAGACGGTCAGGTTGCCAAACGTTCTTCACAGCTCCCAGGAAATCACCAATAACCTCACTTGCCAACATCTCTTCCACATTCATGTTTTTCACAAAGAACTCCGCTTGATAGGGCAAAGGGTAATCTTTACACAACAAGAACGCAAATGGTGAAAACAATGTATTCTCAGATCAGTCATATACATGGACTTCAGTAAGGTGTTTGATAAGGTTCCCCATGGTAGGCTGATGGAGAAAGTGAAGTCGCATGGGGTCCAGGGTGTACTAGCTAGATGGATAGAGAACTGGCTGGGCAACAGGAGACAGAGAGTTGTAGTGGAAGGGAGTTTCTCAAAATGGAGAGCTGTGACCAGTGGTGTTCCACAGGGATCCGTGTTGGGACCACTGTTGTTTGTGATATACATAAATGATCTGGAGGAAGGTATAGATGGTCTGATTAGCAAGTTTGCAGATGACACTAAGATTGGTAGAGTAGCAGATAGTGAAGGGGACTGTCGGGGAATGCAGCAGAATATAGATAGATTGGAGAGTTGGGCGGAGAAATGGCAGATGGAGTTCAATCCAGGCAAACGGGAGGTGATGCATTTTGGAAGATCCAATTCAAGAACAAACTATACGGTAAATGGAAAAGCCCTGGGGAAAATTGATGCACAGAGAGATCTGGGTGTTCAGGTGCACTGTATCCTAAAGGTGGCGACACAGGTGGATAGAGTGGTCAAGAAGGCATACGGCGTGCTTCCATTCATCGGACGGGGTATTGAGTACAAGAGTTGGCAGGTCATGTTACAGTTGTATAGGACTTTGGTTCGACCACATTTGGAATACTGTTACAGTTCTGGTCGCCACATTACCAAAAGGATGTGGATGCTTTGGAGACGGTGCAGAGGAGGTTCACCAGGATGTTGCCTGGTATGGAGGGCGCTAGCTATGAAGAGAGGTTGAGTAGATTAGGATTATTTACATTAGAAAGACGGAGGTTGAGGGGGGACCTGATTGAGGTCTACAAAATCATGAGAAGTATAGACAGGGTGGATAGCAAGAAGCTTTTTCCCAGAGTGGGGGACTCAGTTACTAGGGGTCACAATTTCAAGGTGAGAGGGGAAAAGTTTAAGGGAGCTATGCGTGGAAAGTTCTTTATGCAGAGGGTGGTGGATGCCTGAACGCGTTGCCAGCAGAGATGGTAGAGGCGGCCACGATAGTGTCATTTAAGATGTACCTAGACAGATACATGAATGGACAGGGAGCAGAGGGATACAGATCCTTGGAAAGTAGGAGACAGGTTTAGATAGAGGATCTGGATCGGCGCAGGCTTGGAGGGCCGAAGGGCCTGTTCCTGTGCTATAATTTTTCTTTGTTCTTTCTTTGTTCTTATCCCAACTTAAGTACCACAGAAACATTTGGCAAGTGGTGTGCAGAGGTCTGTGTGCTGTGATCGCATTAATACAGCTATGTGTACAGTTTTCTGGAGGCTAATTCTCTTATGGTTTGTATTTGGGAAACACTAATTCCCCAGGTGCAAACTACAAGGCGTGAATGGAGACGTAAATATCAGATCTCTAATCTCATGGCATTCACGCAGAAGTGTGGGATGACCACATCGACAACAAACAGACAGGAACCACAGCCAGGGAAATGAGGTAAAATATGGAAAAGTTAGTCTTCTAATGTCTGCAATGCAACTGTCTTCTTCTTTCTATTTCTTAAAAAGGACAGGCAGGTCTGAATACAACTGGGCCATTTAAACAACTTGATACCCCAAATCAAGGCATGGTAAACTTATTGCCTCAAGACATTTCGTCAGGTTCACACAAGGAGCAGATAGCTGGCCCGTAGGATTTAACTATGTGTAAGGTGCTTGGGTTTTGAATAGACATCCATGAAACTGTGATTCTTTTCGAAAGACAGAAAGTCAAGGATAACCTCAGAAGTCTTCAGAATAACAAGGGCTATGATTGGTTAAATATTAATTAAAAAGGACACACATTCAAGATTATAAAAATTAAGAGATCAGAAAAATGTATTTACACAGAAGGTATGAATGAATGTGAAATTTTCTACAACAGATTTGTGTAGATCCAGAAATCAAATATCCAACAGGAATTAAGATAGTTGCCTGTAGATGAGGTCAGAAATCAGACGGCACCAGGTTTATCTGAAATCAAGCTTTCAGAGCGTTCCCCCCTTGTCAGGTGAAGTTCGTCACTTCACCTGACAAAGGAGCAACGCTCCAAACGCTTGTGATTTCAAATAAACTTGTTTGACTATAACCTGGTGCCATGTGACTGCTGACCTTGTTCACCCCAGTCCAACAGCAGCACCTCCCCATCATGGCCAGTAGATGGAGAGAGAACAACTAATTTAGCATGGAGCAGAAATCAAACTTGGGAGATTTGTGTGAATAGTTTTACTCGGGTTTGCTCTTTGTATTATTATATAGCTCATCTAAAACATATGACCATTGTCCTCTAAACATTTTTTTTTTCCTTTATTCGTTAACGGGATGAGGACGTCACTGGCTAGGCAGCATTTATTGTCCATCCCGAATTGCCCAGAGGGCAGGTCATTGTCAGTCACATTGCTGTGGGTCTGGAATTATATGTAGGCCAGACCAGGTAAGGATGACAGTTTCCTTCCCTAAAGGAAGGAACATTAGTGAACCAGATGGGTATTTCCGACAATCAGCAACGGACTCATGGTCATCACTAAATTCTTAATTCCAGATTTTATTTTGATTTCAAATTCTACCATCTGCTGTGGCTGGATTCGAACCCGGGTCCCCAAAGTGTTATCCTGGTCTCTGGAATAACAGTCCAGTGATAATAGCACTAGACTATCACCTCTTTTGTATCAAATATAAAGTGAATCTGACTCATATTCTCTTTGATGGAGCAATTTGTTTTGAGCAGTTTTGCCAACTGACATTTCATTTCCCAGAACCAGATCCAACAATGCCTCTTTCCTCATTGTGAGGTAAACACACTGCTCTAAGAAATTACTCTAAGAAATTGCTCTAAGAATCTCTTCCTCCTCTGTGCCCTCAACATTAATTACTCCACTATAAACTGGGATGGCAATAAAGTCCCATTATCACTACCCATAACTTTTGCACCTCTTCTATAAGTTTGCTTAGCTGTCTTTATCCCTAGTTGGTGGCCTGCAGAATACACCCAACAGTTTAAAAACACATCTATTGTTTCTTAACTCTAAGCAAATAGATTCTGACTGTCAACATTCCTGGATAACCTTAATGCTGCCACCTCTTATTTGTTCTTTCCAGCCTCATCTCCCTGAGTAACTTTTGTCTTTTTAACAATCGTAAATCCTCACATGGAGCCATTGGGATCAGGCACATCTCTCAACTCTGACATCCAGAAACGGAAGCCGATTGTTGTTTTCTTCTTCTCCCCTTGTGAATTTAATCCCCGTGAATACGTTGTTGATGAGGTGGTGGGTCTCTTCTAGTTTGTTGCATTTAATAATGACAAATGTGTCATCTACATACTGGATCCACAGTTTGGTTTGAATGCGGGGGAGAGTGATGTGTTCTAGTCTTTGCATGACTGCCTCTGCAATGAGTGACCCCATGGGTGTGCCATTGATCTGTTTGTATACTTGACCATTAAAGACGAAGTGCGTGGTGAGGCACAGGTCTTTTTTAGTGGGTAACAATACACGTTGCATTGTAGGGATCCTAACCCAATTACAATACTTCAAGATAAAGCAAGGATTTCCATCAAATATCAAAGTAATATTACCTTAATCCTAGAGCGCAAGTGTGCATTAGGTTCAGAATAGTCTGAATTGAAGCTGACTGATACCAATGTCTCTCCCGTAATGAACATAAACATTTAGATTATGTTGCAATATTTATGATTTTTTTTGGTGTCGTATATTTAGAAAGTGGCATGGATGGTTATTTCATTAATTATAGACTGTCTCTAATTATTAACAAATATTGGGAGAGATAGCTTTCCCATTGCATTCTCAAGAATTTTTTGTTGCGTTTAATCTCAAAAGACTAGGGCCAGGTAATCTATTTGGTCGAAGTACTGCGTTCAGCAAGGTAGTAGATTTGAAGCCCAAGACCCTTAATCAGACTGTGATTTTACTTCTCTGAAATGGCACAGCACAGGAGTGCTAGACATCAGCACAAGAATCTCCATAAGCTAGCGGATTTTTGGCACATGTAATCTTTATCAGCAATTCCACATCATTATGAAGAAAGTCGACTGTGTTGACTTGCTGTTAGAAGAATAGAGTAACTTTTAATTTAGTTTCTCCTATTGATCCCACATGTTTTGGCCCTTACTTTGCACATTGTATCCATGGATATTTCGCACCAAGTCCTTCCTCTTTTTGTCTCTATTTTCACCATGACATGATACTCCCATGTGGTTTTGTGCCTAAAGCTTACTTACAACTCTGTATTTACATAGTTACACTATAAACCTGAAGATCTGAACAGATTTCCTCTTACTCTGACCCCAACTCATACCATACTAATTCTTACTCAAATGCTATCTATCTATTCAAGGAGACAGCAGTGTAGTGGTAATGTCACTGGACTATTAATCCAAACACTCAGACCAATGCTCTGGTAACAAGGCTTCAAAACTCACCATGGGGGCTGCTGGAATTGGAGTTCAATTAACAAATCTGGAATATAAAGCTATCCATAAGTAATGGTGATAACAACCAACCAACTGCAATTAAAACCCTATGTGCTTCATTAATTCCTTTTAGATAAGGAAATCTGCCATTCTTAACCAATCTAGCCTGCCTGAACAGCAGCTCCCACCTGTAAGCTGCCTCATGGATGATATATCCCATATTTCTTATACTTCAGATACAGGAATGTCTTCTTCCGTTAACTTCCAAGGAATTACTAACACACAATTTTAAAAATTTGTAACAATTCCACATTGATTTTGGCCGGAAACAACAACTTTCCAAACAGTCACACCCAAAGTTGATTGTTACAGTTGCAGAGTGTATGAAATGGAAAAATAGCACAAGGAAGCTCTACGTCCAGAATTCTAGCACAGCCTTCTTTTCTCCTCTGCAGATGCAAGCTGCATATTTACACCAAGTTTTGTTTTGTATTGCAAAGACGTTACCCTTACTATGTAAAAAACTAAATATATCAAAAAGAATCTCCATACCATCTGAAGCCATAATGTTGACAACCAAAGTATGCCTTGCTGTTTCGTATGTTCGTCTATTATAGGCAGTGATCTGTAAAAGGAGAAAAGAAACAGCAAATCATCAAAACATGAAAAAAATCTATTAGCACTGCTGCCTCACAGCGCCAAGGACCCGGATTCGATTCCAGCCTCGGGCAACTGTCTGTGTGGAGTTTGCACATTCTCCCTGGGTCTGCGGAGGTTTCCTCCAGGTGCTCCAGTTTCTTCCCACAGTCCAAAGATGTGCAGGCTAGGTGGATTGGCCATGGGAAATGCAGGATTACAGGGAGAGGATACAGTAAGGAGGTGGGGGGATTGGATGGGATTCTCTTTGGAGGGTTGCTGTGGACTCGGTGAGCCAAATGGTCTGCTTGCACAGTGAACGAATTCTATGATTCAAGATATTCCAGTTAAAAATTGCCTATGGCAGTATTTAAATTTCTTTACTATTACCATGCAGCTTGTATTTGTACCTGCACTGTGAATGGAAATTAATGCGTTAGATCAATGCATTCAGAGCAGTCAAACAGCTATACCTGAAACTGTTACACTTCAAAATGTAATCAAAATTAAAATATAATGGACAGCTAAAAGTACAATTTCTTTTGAAATTAAAACAGAGATAAGAATTGGGAGAATTTGCGTTCGAATACCATGCAGTAAATTTGTCTTGACGTTTCTCTCGTTTTCATTATGCAGTGGTCCACACTTAGAGGCAAAGTACTGTGATAGTTTGCCCTTGCTTTCTGCATGAAAGCTGGCCAGGGAAGTCACCTGTTCTTACAGCCTGCGGTCAGGCATATTGGAAAGATTTACAGTCTGACAATCGACTTGTGGACTACGCTACAAGTGTGCTTTAGATGATCAAGTCCCAGGTTGGGTCTCGAACCCAGAGTTTCTAGCCCAGAGGTAGGAATACTGCTGCACCATGACATCTCCTACCCCTCCTATTTTCACTACAAGCAAAGTTGTTATTTATTTGGAATATCTTGGTGGGTATGTTTAATGTCAGTTACTGTAAGAAACTAGGAAAGGTGGTGGCCTAGTGGTATTATCATTCATCTACTTATCCAAAGACCCAGGTATTGTTCTGAGAACCTGATTTGAATACCACTGTGGCAGATAAATGCAATAAAATTCTGGAATTAAGAGTCTGATGGTGGTCATGAAAGGTCGATTGTAAGAAAAATCAATCGCTAATGCCCTTTAGGGAAGGAAACTGTCTTTCTTACTTGTGACTCCAGATCCAAAACAATGTGGCTGACTTAACTGCCCTCTGGGAAAATTAGGACAATAAATGATCGCCTGAATAAAAAAAAGGTACATTCTGAAGTGCTTTCCTAATACAATAAAACCATAAGACATAGGAGCAGAAATAGGCCATTCAACCCACTGAGATCTGAGGGTCCTCTATTCCACTTTCCTCCTTAGTCCCCATCATCCTTGATTCCATTACTGATTAAAAATCAGTTTGTCTCAGCCTTGTATATTCTAATTCAACTGAAAACTTGATATTTTGCTTTCTTTTGTGGTTGTAATTCTGTCACTAATACATTTTACTAATAAACTGATATTTTTGCAATTAAGTTATAGATGCATCTTTCCCAACAAGAGGCAGATGATTTTCGTGATGAAATGGTGTTATTTTATACTAATAGATCATATGAATATTCATATGAACTAAAAACTGCTCCACAATTCAATAAGATCACGGCTGACCTGATTACTGCACAGTCCCACCAACCCTGAACAGTCTGTAATTTTCTTGCTTATTAAGAATCTATCTACCTCCACCTTAAAATATATTCTGAGACACTGGTTCCACTGCCTTTTCAAAAAGAGTTCCAAATATTCACAACCTTCTGAGGGCAAAAAGAATTCTCTTCATCTCTGTGTCAAAAGGACAGCCCCATTATTCTTAAACCATGACCCCTAGTTCTAGATTCTCCCACAACAACAAATATCCTTTCCACATCTATATCATTAAGATGCTTCAGGATCTTATGGTTCAATCAAGTCACCACTTACTCTTCTAAACTCTAGCAGATACATGTCTCGCCTGTCCGGTCTTTCCTCATAAGACAATGCACCCATTCCAAGTATTAGTCTAGTAAACCATCTCTGAACTGCTTCCAATGTACATACATCCTTCTTTAAATGAGAAGCCTAAAAACACACATAACGGGAGGTGATAGCCTAGTAGTATTACCACTAGAATATTACTACAGAATCCAGGTAATGTTCCGGGGAATCACAGTTTGAATCCTGCCATGGCAGATGGCAGAATTTGAATCCAATAAAAATCTGGAATTTAAGGGTCTCATGACAACTGTGAAAATATTGCCAATTGACAGCAGATTCCAAATCTTTTTCACTGATGTCCTTCACTGCCTGGTCTGGCCTACATGTGACTCCAGACCTACAGACTCTTAATTGCCTTCTGGGTAACTACGGATGGGCAATAAATGCCAGCCTAGCCAGCAATGTCCATATTCTATGAACAAATTTAAAAAAAAACACTACTCCAGATGTGATCTCACTAGTGCCCTGTATAATTGAAGCATAACCTCTGTAATTTTGAATTCAATCCCTCTCGCAATAAACAAGAACATTCTGTTAGCTTTCATAATAATTTGTTGTCTTTTGAAATTCACACACTAGGACACCCAAATTCCTTTGCATCCAAGCTCTGCAATTTTTCACCACTTCAATAGCATGTTTCTTTTCTACTCTTCCTGCCAAAATGGACAATTCCACATTTTCCTATTTTCTAGTCCACATTTCCAGATTTTTGCCCACTGCCTTAATCTACCTTCATAGCTTCTTCAAAACTTACTTTCCCACTTATCACCTTGTCATCAAAGTTAACAACCTACTTTTAATCCCATCATCCAAGTCATTTGTGTAATTAAATAATTGAGACCTCAAGGCTGATAATGGTGACACAACACCTACTGCATCTTGCCAAACAGAAAGTGACCCATTTATGACTAATGTTTCCTGTTGGCTAGTCAATCTTCTACCAATGTTAATATGTTACACCATCAGCCTTCATTTACAGCAATGACCTTAGACATGGCACTTCAGGAATTGCAAGAACAGTCCATCCAGCGATAATCTACCCCATTATGTACAGCCCCTGTTTCTTCACAAAATAACTTCAGTAACTTAGTTTGAACATAATTTCCCTTTCACAAAACCATACTGAATCCGCATACAGACTCAGAAGCCACATTAGCAATAATACTGGGTGATAAATGATTTCCTTGAACATGTACAAGATGGATTTTTAGACTAGTACATTAAGGAACCAACTTGGGACAGGCTTTCTTAGAGTTGGTTTTCTGCAAAAAGTTCATTAATGATTTGTAAGAATAAGTGGGCTGTTTTAGAAAACAGTGACAAGTGGGATACCACAGGAATCAGCATTTGGGCCCAGGCTATTTACAATTTGGATGAGGGAATTAATAGTAATATTTCCAAATTTTCTGAGGACACAAAAATTGATGGGAAGCCAACTGGTGAAGAAAATATAAAGAGGTTTCGCAGCAAGTTGAGTGAATGATCAAATACGTGGTAGATGCAGGAAAACGTGGATGAATGTGACCTTTGCCATTCTGTTCTTCCTACTGAAATGGATCAGCATTATTTAAAATTGTGATTATATTTGGAAAGATTGATATGCAAAAGGACCTGGGTGTCTTTGTACATTGGTACACTTACAAAGCTAACATGCAGATGCGCAGGCAGTTAAGGTAGCAAATAGTACGTTAACATTCAGTGCAAGAGTGTTTGAATCTGGAGCTTTGTTCCATCTGTAACGGGGCCTTGATTAGGCTATAACTGGAGAACCATGTGCAGTTTTGTTTCCTTGCCTAAGATATACTTTCTATAGAGGCAGTAGAGTGAACATTCACCAGATTAATTCCTGGGACGGCAGTTCTGATGTATGAGGAGACACTGGGTTGAGGAGGCCTGTAATCACTGGAGTTGAGACGAATGAGAGGAAATCTCATGAAACATAAAAATTTGACAGAGTGGACAGACTGGAATACAGGAATGATGCTTCCTCTGGCCAGTGGTCAAGACCAAGGGGTCCCAATCTGAGGATACGTGGCAGGCCATTTCAAATTAAGCTAAGAACATTTCTTCACTCAAAGGTTGGTGAGCCAGTGGAATTCTCTACAACAGAGGATATATGGAAGCAAAGTCGCTGGATATATCATGATTACATTGAATGGTGAAGCAGGGTTGATGGCCAAATGTTCTACTCTTATTTTCTATATTTCTGTTTCTATTGAACTATAGCATTGATGGTACACTACAGTGTTGCCGATGTTACCCTTTCGACAAGCAATGATGAAAAGATCTCAGCACTAAACAGGAGAGGGAAGTAATGTGTTCTTTGTAATGTTTATCCATTGACCAATAGTAATAAATGAGTCTGGCATTGCAATTTTTCAATCTTCCCATGTACAAAACAGTTGCCACATTTACTTCCATAAAAATAATCACATCATTTCAAAGTAAGTAACAGCATTGAGAGACACAACAACGTGCTACGCAAATGGAACATTTTATCCCCATTTTCCATTCTAAATATTTTTTATGGGGCATGAATTTCCTTGGGACTGCTCCTAATGCCAAATTTTGTTGGAAGAGAAATGGAAACCCCATTTACACAGGAAGTTATGGTATAGAAGGGAATAAATTCACAGTCACAGAAAATATTTCAGTGTAATTTTAACTTTACCTTAAACTTGAACATGAACATAGTGTTATTGTAACTGTGGATTTTCAAATAGTTCCTAAATGTTTCTAGGTGACTAGATTGCATTGAATTACAAAGTAGAATGCACCCATTTTCTCAGTGAGAATAAATGTTCATAAATAGCCAGAAATTCTATAATTTGTCCACAACCTCCTAAAAGCTAGCACAGTAATACATACATAACAATAATACAGATTACTATGGTACCTCAATGATTGTCGTTTTGTCAGCGTTCTCAATGGTTGGTGACCCATAAAGCACTCCGTCACTGTATGGAGTTCTTTGAATATATCGCAGCCAGCCAGGTCTGTCTGGATATCCTTTCAGATTCGTCTTAAATGTTATAGGATCATTTCGAGCATCAGCTAAACCAAAGAAAGACAAAGACAAATCTATTTGTAGTGCCGAAATTCTGTTTTTAATCCTACACTCTTTGTGAATTAAATGCACATTGAATTTGGGTGTTATGGTGTAGTGAATTGTTACAGTAGGTCAACTAGTGTAGCAATCACACTGTAACTATTTTCCCTTGATGGTTCTACATGTTGTTCAGTTGCACAAACTAGGAAAGCATTAGAATTAGCCTATCAAGTTCAATCATCTTGGCCAAGACAGTATAAGGAAACTTCAAGGTCACTTTTGTGCCAGGAGGAAGGAAAACTTTTTTGGAGGCTAGTAACATCTGTTGAAATGCACTTGTGTACATTGGGTCAAAATCTTCCCATGTATTAGACACAATCCTCCACAGTTAAACAATGTTGCACCCTTAACTGTCAAGGTTCAGTCAAGAATAATAATAATGAGGTATTATGAGGAGTCTGGAACTCTCAGGACTATCCATAAACAAGAGTCAATGTATTAGAAAGATGGGGAGAAATCAGTCATTTAAACACCATCTTTTTATTTAAAAAGAGAGAGAATGATAGAAAAGTGAAAAACAATGCTTATTTTGTTATGTTGCAAGTGCCAACTCATGCTCACTGAAATGGCAGTTTTTCACACTTGAACAACAACCAATTTTCAACAAGCTATTCAACTATGGGGGCATTATCATCAAAACCCATCTTGACCTTGCTCAAAGTTCTCATCTATTCCTCACTTGTGATTTCTTCTCTTCCCTGCCTATAGAGACCAAAATAACTTCAATGTTTCAGTATCTGCCCTAGTTGACATCCAGAAACAAAGCACAAACCTTTTGGATTAACTTGGGACCTTTCTGATCTGGATGGATTAGTACTACAGTAAGCAGCCCAGTCTTTTATCAACTATAACTTTAACAGTGTTTTCAGTTAATATTAGGAATCTGAATCAGCAACTGGGTTTAACATGTTCTCACTCTGCAAATGTTGTCTGCACCAGCTGCTTGAAAACCCCTGGGATGCTAATGCACGCGTGGTCTATCGTCTTTCTTCCCTCCGAATCAAAAAGTGTCACAATCTTTGTTCGTTTCTTTCCTCAATGAGACTCAAGTCCTGAACTGACCGCACCAAAATTTCAACCTATTCTGAGCCCAGCTCTAACATTTTCCCAATAACAGGCATTAAGCTAACTGGCCTATAGTTACCTGTTTTTTGCATCTCATTCCCTTTTTAAATAAAGGTATTACAATGTCAGTGAAGACTAAAGTCACCATGATTAATGCACTGCCTTTTTTACATGCCCTCATTATCTCCTGATTTATTCTCAGTCCTACTGAACAGCTAGTGTTAAGGGGCCTATAGACTATTATCAGTGAGTTCTACTCATTGATATTTCTTAACCGCCACCCATATGGATTCTGCATCTTCTGATCTAAGATCATAGCATTCTACAGAACTTCTTCCATCCGTAGTAACAATGATACACCCTTCAAAAGCCAAGTTAACTCTGCCCGATTATACTATGATTTTCTAAGAATCCAGCTTAATGGATTCTAGCAATTTCCACATGGCAGATGTTAGGCTACCTGGCCAATAATTTCCTGCGGTTGTCTTCCTCCTTTCTTGATTAAAGATGTTTCATTAGTTCATTTCCGAACCACTGGGATCCTTTCAGAATCTCTGGAATTTTGGAAATTTATAACCAAAAAAACTACCATCTCTGCAGCCAAAAGTGGTTATGAAATCTCAAGACAGACAGTTTACATCCCATTATTCAGAACAAATTTTATAGGGGTGGCTTTTGTAAAGCAATGAAGTGCATAACTTTATATCTTTTTAAAATTAACTTTAAAGCACAGATTGAGTTGAATTAACAGTGTCACTTACCAACTTTCATTGAGTAGGGAGGAAATTCCCCTTTAAAATATTCTCTCTCCAAAACATGGACAAAAAGGACACCAGAAGATGGATAAACATTCCGATCTGAATGCACTCTTGAGAAAATGGAATACACTAAAGGGAAAATGGGAGATGGACAATAAACCAAAAGCAAAGAATAAAGTTATAAAATCATACATGGTTTTGCACTCATTTACAGCAGGTTGTGCTGACCAAATATCAAACCTCATTATATAAAGAATGTAGAAGAATTCCATATATTGATCTGCATTCGATGTTAAATCTTGATCATTAAAAAGGATCTCAACTGAAATAATAAATATGACATATTGAAAACAGTATTTTAATTACATAAATATTAATTTTAACTTCATATTTACTTGCTTAAATTCAATAAAATAGCATTAAACATTATCCCATCAATACAACGTCTTAGTGACACCAGTTTGCATCAATATTTTTGCTGATGCGGCCTTAAGTGGAGAATTTTTGTTTGTAATTTTATGGGTCATGTCTTCTTTTCTTAAAAACTTGTTTATTTTAGTTTACAGAAGGAATAATAGCTACTTTGCCACAGTGGCTACCAGTCATAGTCATTAAAAGCAAACAGGTTCAAAGTAAACTAAATTTATATAGAAAAATAAATCCCTTTTAATTTAACATTTAGCAAAACCGGCATTAAGTCGACCAGGGAGACTCCTAATGCTGTATTAGAGCTCAACTCAACATCAGGGAGCCAAAGGTTGGATTTTTCAGGATAATGGAGAGATTGTAAGATGCAGAGTAATGTAGGCAGAGTTCCAAAATTGGGGAAATGGGTACGTTATTGGGCAATACAGAGGAAGCTCTTACCAGAGGTTATGTTTATACAACTTATCAAATTATTTGGTGGTTCTATAATGAACAGTGAAGAATTAAATGCTAGGTGTTCAGTCATTGCTAAGTGTGCCAGGCATCAAAAATATTGTATGCAAAAATGGAAAATTGTTCATTTTGAGCATGAAATAGTCAAATGGAAATCAGCAAATTAAAATGCATCGGATTTTCAACAGACCAGAGAAGTGGGGGAAGAGAAGATGGGGTGTGGATCTTTCTTGAAATCAAAGAAGTGGCTGAAGACAGGGAAGGCAGCACTGCAGCCCCAGCAATTTTCCTAGGGGGCTTCACTTGCCTACCTCAGCAGCAACCATTGATCCTGGTGTTGCTGCTGAGACACCAAAGTAACCAGCCCTCTGATAGGGCAACAAACCTAATCTCAAGAGGCAGCTTCTGAATTGACTGTCACCCAAAATGATGAGGGGGAAGTCCTGCTGCCCACCTGTGCATGCCACTGATCCATTGTTTTGGCTGATATCCAGCACCCTTCCAAACAGGGAATTTCAGCCCAGTATAACAGTAAGGAGTAAATATGTATTTCACTTCTTGCACATTACCTTTTCCATTGTGATAGCCATTTCATATAGTGATCCAAGGTTTTTAAAATTAGCATTACAGGGCTGGGCTTGGTTTAAAAGCAACAGTAAGTACTGAATTCCAATATTGCTGTATTATTGCCATTACACTGAAATAGCTTAAAAGAGATCTTCAATGAAGATATCCCTTGAATTTAATGTGAAAGTCCAGTTTGACAAGTGTTATGGGGGTCGGTTATCTCAGCTGGCTGATTTACAATGCAAAATGATGCCAACTTTGTGGGTTCAATGCCCATACTGGCTGAGGTTGCCATGAAAGGATCGCCTTCTCAACCTCTCCCCTCGTCTGAGGCACTGTGATGCTCTCTGAGGGGACAGTCTGTGGGGCTATGGTGCTCTTACCTATCACTCATTGATTCCGAGACTGTATTTTAAAAGAACAGATATTTTCAGGCAAATAACGGCATGCTTGTTCTGTTGAGACACTATTTAAAACAAAGGCTTGCTAAAGTTTGTACGTTTATTCTCCAGAACTACGCAGTTATGAGCTCTCTTAATCTTTGACCGTGTAGATAAGCTTTAATTAAACATAAGGTCACTTGATCATTGATAGCAATATACTAATTGCAAATGTAACTTTTTTTAATAGAATATATTCATAATTTATAGAAGGACTGAAATATTTTAAATCACAAAATATTGAACTGATATAACACAATCTAACTGAATTTAAGAGACTACATAAATCAATTAATCTAGTGTTAGGTCAGAATTAAACAAAAACAAAATTTAGAACACAACATGAAGGACACTACTTTGTTGATTAATTGTTGGTTAATGCTCAGGTAAAGTTGATGCTAACAAACTGCTGTTACTTTAAAATAGTACAACCATTAGAAGATATGTGTACAGTATTTGCACAGGTGGCTGAGCTCAAGAATCTGGCAGCGAACCATATTCTGACTAACACATTAAAATTTCCTCTGACATTTCACGGTAAAAATCCTGTGTAAAATGGGCTTGGATAGCATCAACCCAACGGCTATTGGACACAGAGCACGAAACTGCCTCAAATTCAGCAATCACAATCAGAGGTTGTTGTTTTGGAAAAACAAAGTGTTAACTTGTATAGGAATGCCCTTTTAAAAGTTAAAAAAAAATTAGCACACACAGAATTTTACTCTGCCACTAACATGCCAAGCCTGACCTGGAAATGTATAAGGCTGACACAGTATGTAAACCGTACCCAGTGGTAAAATCATCACCTCGCCCAGCACAAAAATGCAAACTATTTATTTTAAATTACATTTGTCGAAACATTTCTAGCATCTTCACATTTAGCTGTAGCAAAAATAAACAGAAACGTTACAGAAGAAGAAGCTATGATCATTAACGCACTTTTGATGATTCTAAGCTGGCAAACATCACATCAGTTCCTTACTGCTCGTAGAGTTCAGGAACACAGGAATAGTACCCAAAAACCCAAGGAGTATCTAGCATTCTACCATTCTGTAGGTTGCATCTTACTATGATAATTGAGTTACCACTAACCATGGGAATTATTATCAATTAATTCAACTACAACAGATGCAGACACAAACTGAGAAAATCCCTAGTGGTTAGGCGGATAATTTTGGGACCTATTGATCAAAGGTCACCTGTTCTTCCCAAGCATCATAGACTCAGATATTAACAGTACAAAAGGAGGCCATTCAATTCATCATGTCCATGCCAGACAACAAAAAGCTGACTACTCGAATTCTGTTTTCTAGCTTTTGGTCCTGGAAAGTGTGGGGGCAGCACGGTAGCTCAGAGATCAGCAGTGCTGCCTCACAGCACCAGGGAAACGGGTTCAATTCCACTCTCGGGCGACCGTCTGTGTGGAGTTTGCACATTCTCCCCATGTCTGCATGGGTTTCCTCCGGGTGCTTCGGTTTCCTCCAACAGTCCAAAGATGTGCAGGTTAGGTGGATTGGCCATGCTAAATTGCCCCATAGTGTCCAGGGATGTGTAGCTTAGGTGGGTTCTGGGGGGATGGGTCTGGGTGGGATGCTCCAAGTGTCAGTGTGGACTTCTTGGGCCAAAGGGCCTGTTTCCGCACTGTAGGGATTCTATTCTACGATTCTATGAAAATCAAAATTCTGCTTAAACATAGCAAGAGTTTCCGACCCACATACCTTTCAGGCAATAAATTCCAGACTCTCACCACTCAGGAAAAAAAAATTCTCAACTCTCTTCCTAGATTTCTACCTCTAACCTTAAATCTAAGTCCCGTGGTTATTGACACCTCTAATAATGAAAAAAGTGCTTTCTTACCTATGCCCCTTATAATTTTATCAGGTCTCTTCTCAGTCTTCACTGCTCCAAGAAAGACAATCCGAGGCTACCAAATGCTGCCTCGTATCTTGGACTATCTAGCCAGGCAGCATCCTGGTAAATCTCCTCTGCACTGTCTAGTGTATTCCTCCTCTTACATATCATGTTTCAAATTAATCACATACTATACCCAAAAATGTTATTTTCTGAAATGAATCTAATTTATATTTGAATAAATTAATGCCGATTGTTTAATAGGGAGTCTGTTCTGTAGATCCACTACTTAATTAAATAAAGTTATCCACAGTGGCAAACATACCTTCCATCAAGTGCTGGCCATGTCATACTGTTATGAACAAGGTGTAACATGGTCTACATTCACTGGGGACTAGATAATCTTAAAAGCAGCAATCGTGCAAATTCTCAAGCATCTCTTTTTCAGGGTGCAGACACCCAATTTACTCCTCAATCCCTCCAATCCCACAATCACCCCATTTGCTTGCTTCTATATCCGTTCTTGTAGTGTAGTGGCTGGAACAGTACAAGAATTCTCTGAACAGATACACCAACCATTTATTAATTGGCGGAATGATCTCACCAGCATCAGTATACCCTGGTATAGCTTACAAACATTATTGCAATTCTGATGACATTGAATGTTGTACAGCCAGCACGATCCAGTCCAGCTCATTTCCAAGAGAATAAAACTATTATTAACACTGAGCTTGGAGTAATTCAAATTTTGACTCACTTAATTTTTTTTATTCTTTCATGGAATGAGGGTATCACTGACTAGGCAGCATTTATTGCCCATCCCTAATTGCCCAGAGTCAACCACATTGCTGTGGTTCTGGAGTCACATGTAGGCCAGACCAAGTAAGGATGGCAGTTTCCTTCCCTAAAGGACATTAGTGAACCAGATGGGTTTTTCTGACAATCAACAATGGATTCACGGTCATCATTAGATTCTTAATTCCAGATATTGTATTGAATTCAAATTCCACTATCTGCTGTGGCGGGATTTGAAGCCAGGTTCCTGGAATGTCATCTGGGTCTCTGGATTAACAGTCGAGAGATAATACCACTAGGCCATCGCCTCCCCCAGTCAGACACCAGATAATGCTTTCTTAATTATTATAAATGCTTATACATAGCTTCCTTCTAGTGTTATACTATCCCTGATGGAGATTTAATTCCTTTCCTTTTTCGGCCTTTTTTTTTGAAACTGCATAGACTTCTCTTCTTTTCCATTGATTGTGCACAATCTGGTTAGGATTAATAACAACTTCATATTCTAAGATAGAATGATTACTTTAAACTCCTTTTCTTGGAATGCTCCTGAATTACTCCATCAAAAGATCTGGAGCTTAATACATGCTTCTCCCT